CACCATTTGTTCAAAAGATTATCTTTTCTTCATTGAATTGTCTTTGTAATTTGCCTAGCATCATTATTCTATATATGTGCAGTTCTGTTTCTAGACCATCTCTTTTTTTTTTCCCCCATTGATCTATTTATCTTTATGCCATATTGAAACTGTCTTTGTTACTATAGCTTTGTAATGAGTTATCAGTCAGCAGTAGCTCTCCAACATTGTTGTTTTCTAAAGGTTATGTTGGCTCTTCTAGGTCTTTTATTTCCATGTGAGTTGTAGAATCAGCTGTTACCCTTCTGCAAAAAGCCTTCCTAGATTTTGATTGGGATTTTTTTTTGAAACAGATCAATTTAGGAATAAGTGACATCTTAATAATGTTTAATCTTTTGACCCATAAACATTTTCTTTCTAATTGATTTTTAGAGGGAGAGAAGGTCAAGGGAGAGAGAAACAATCGATGTGGGAACGAAATATCCATTGGCTGCTCCCTGCACACTGCCACCAAGAATGGAGCTGAATCCGGGCATGTGCCCTGAAGGAGTCTAACCTGCAATTGATGTGTGGCATGACACCCAGCCAAGTGAACCACACTGGCCAGGGCCCAACCCATAGATACTGTCTCTCCATTTATTTACATCTTCTCTCATTTATCTCAGAATATTTTGTAGTTTTCAGTGTATAGGTCTTGAAAACTTTTGTCAGATTTATCCTTAGGCATTTTATGTGTGTTTTTTATTTTAGTGCTATTGTAAGTGGAAAGTGAAATTTCAAAAATACTGATTGTTGCTAATATATAGAAATACAATGGATTTTTATACATTGATCTGGTATCCTACAATCTTGCTAGAAAGCTCCCTTACTAGTTATAGTATCTTTTTTTTGTAGATTCCTAGATTTTTACATACACAATATGTCATCTGTACATAGAGACAGCTTTAGTTCTTTCTTTTCAGTGTAACTGTTTATATTTATTGCCTGAATGCACTGGCTAGAACCTCCAGTCCTTGACTTGTTACTGATATTGAGGGAAAAGCATTCATGGTGTTTGACCATTACAGATGCTGTTTTTGTAGATGCTTTTAAGTAGATCAAGGATATTGCTTCTATTTCTAATTTGCTGAGGGTTTTTTTGTTTGTTTGTTTGTTTTAAATCAGGAATAGATGCTTTATGCTTTAGTCTTTGTCCATTGAGATTATATGGTTTTTCTATTTTAGTACCTATGGTAAGTTACACTGATGTTTGAATGGTAAGCCAGACGTTCATTCCTGGGATATTCGGTTGGACTCAATTTGCTAAAATACTTAAAATTTTTGCTTCTATGCTCACGAGGGATATTGATCTTTAATTTCTGTCCTTGTAAGGTCTGTGTCTGGTTTTTGGTGCCAGTAACACAGGCATTATAGAATGTGTTTTTTCCTCTTCTGTTTTTTTATGAAGAATTGTATTCTTTAAACATTTGGTAGAATTCAGTGGTGAAAACTTTTGAGTCTGGACTTTTTTGGGGGTTGTTTTTTGTAATTTTCCATTCTTTTAACCGGTGTGTTTATATATAGTGTATATGTTGTTGGCAGCGTATAATTGGATATTTTGTACCCCCTTCGAATAGGTTTGGTTTTGTGTGTGTGTGTGTGTGTGTGTGTGTGTGTGTGTTTGTTTTTAAGAGAGAAGAAGGGAGAGAAAAATAGAAACATCAATGTGAGAGAATCATCGATCGGCTGGCTCCTACAGGCCCCCTACTGGGGATCAAAACTGTAACTCAGGCATGTGCCCTGACCAGGAATCGAACCGGGACCTCTCAGTCCATGGGATGATGCTTAGCACTGAGCCACACCAGCCAAGCTTGTGACCCCTTTGAAAATGAGGAGACACTTGTGCACATACCTATCAGAATATTTCCCCTTTGTTTTTATTGGTTGGGATTGTGTCCAGGGCTTGTGCCTAAACCAGACACTGGGCAAACAGGAATAATGGATTCATATGATTGGCTTAATCTAGTGCATCCATCTTCAGGTGTGGTCTTTAGACAGCAATATCAGCATCACCTGGGATCTTGTTAGACATTCAGATTCTTTTACCCCATCCCAAACCTACTGAATCAGGCAGGTTAGACCTGCCTGCAATCAGGTGTTAGCAATTTTTGTTTCAATAAGCCCTCTAAGAATTTCTAGGCGCTAAAGATTGAGAACAACTGGTCTAGACTAACTTTTACTTGGGTCTATAGAGCTACCTAGTACTGGACAGTTCAGGGGCCTGTTAGCTGGGGAGGGTGAATGGGATAGATTTACACAGGTAGGTGATAATCTTGTCCTAGTAGTCCAAGGTGGGACCCAGGAATATAAGGTTTAAAGTAATCAATACACTCTTGATGAAGGCAGGACTATGTCCACATTCTCAGGTAATGATGATATATTAGGACTATTAAATCGATTAAAACAAATATTTTGGAATCTTCATCTGTAATAGGAGTTGGCAAATTGTATCCTACAGGTACATTGGGCCTGCTGCCTGGTTTGTGTGGCTGGTTAGCTAGATTTTTACATTATTATTATTATTTTTATACTGTCCACAAGAGACTCACTTTATTTTTTCAGTTTCAATTTTTATTGTTGACACTATTGCAGATGTCCTCCATTTCTCTCCCTTTGCCTCCCTCCACCCAGCCCCCATGCTCTCTCCCTTGGCCCTCATCCCCCAATTGTCTATGTCCATGGGCTATGTATATGTGTTCCATAGCTAATCCCTTCACTTTCATTTATCCAGCTGCCCCCCCACCCCCGCCCTTTCCCCTCTGACATTCATTAATCTGTTCCATGTATCCATGCCTCTGGTTCTATTGTGTTCATCAGTTTATTTTGTTCAGTAGATTTCACGTGTGAGATCATATGGTATTTGTCTTTCTCTGACTGGCTTATTTCACTTAGCATGATAATCTCCAAGTCTATCCATGGTGTCGCAAAGGGTAAGAGTACCTTCTTGTTTTACAGCTGAGTGGTATTCCATTGTGTAAATGTACCACAGTTTTGTTTTGTTTTTTTTGCATTTATCTTCAGATAGAGTGGGAGGGAGAGAACGAGGAAGAGAGAAAGAGAAACATCGATGTGAGAGAGACACATTGACTGGTTGCCACCCACACGACCCCAGCCAGGGCAGGGACAAACTGCAAATGAGGTACGTGCCCTTAGCAGGAACTGAACCTGGGACTCTGTGGTCCACAGGCCGACTTTCTAACCACTGAGCAAAACCGGCCAGGGCTACAACTTTTTTATCCACTCATCTACTGATAGGCATTTTGGGCTATTTACAGATCTTGTCTATTGTAAACAACACTGCTATGAACATGGGGGTGCATATATTCTTTCTGATTGGTGTTTCGGGATTCTTAGGATATCTACACAGTAGGGATTACTGGTCAAAAGGTAGTTCCATTTCTAATTTTTTGAGGAAACTCCATACTGTTTTCCACAGGGGCTGAGGGGCTGCACCAGTCTGCATTCCCACCAACAGTAACAAAGGTTCCCTTTTCTCCACACTCTTACCAGCACTTGTTGTTTGTTACATTATTAAATGATTGAAAAAATAAAAAGAATACTATTTCATGACGTGAAAATTAAGGGAAAGTCAGCTTTTAATGTCTATAGATAAAGTATATAGGGACTTATTCATTTGCATATCATCTGTGATGTTTTGGGCTTCAGCAGTAGAGTTGAGTGGTTGTGACAGAGACAGGCTGACAAAGCCTAAATGCTTACTAGCTGGCCCTTTACAGAAAAAGTTTGTCAACCCCTGACTTAAAAGAAGAATTTACCAAAGAATACATTCCCCAACCATCTTGGATAACTGATAAATTACTCTAATAGGTAGGATTCCTGATTATAAACAGTGAAAGAGTGACTAATGAAGTATTTTATTTCAAAAAAGTACACACATTGTAATTATGGTAACTTTGTTTAAAGGAATATTACTTTAATGAGATTTATAATTAGAATACAGCTTTATAAAGTAAGGTCAATTATTAGAGTCAGTGATTATAATTTTCTTTCTTCTGTTTTTTAGTTAACTATTGTTTAACCCTCACGATAAACCTTTTTATATAACCCTATCACTGAAATTCTAAAATTTACCTTAGCACAGTATATCCCTGAGAGGAAATCTTGTTTTAACTTAGAGTGCCTCCTTGTTATTTTGAGGCCTGCCCATTATTATGTAATGGTATGTAAACTCTTCCTTAACATACCTTAGAAAGCTGTTTGTTTGGTTTTAATAAGAAGCACTTACCACATTTAGTATAGACTTTGACTAGAGAAATATCTGATTATTTGAAGGTTTAGAGAATCAACAAACAACTGACATTCACTTTTAAAAAGCACATTAGATTTGCTTTGTGTCTGGCTGGGTGGCTCAGTTGGTTTGAGCATTGTCTCATGCACAGAAAGGTCTCGAGTTCGATTCCTGGTCAGGGCACACATACCCAGGTTTTGGGAGGCGACTGACCTCTCTCTCTTTCCCTCCCTCCCTCCTTCTCTCCCCCTCCCCCCTCTCCTTCCTTTCCTCTCTCTCTAATGTCAATAAAAAACAAACAAAAAACATATACTCCTTGGGTGAGGATTAATTAGCAAACAAACCAAATCTTTTTTGTGTTTTTATGTCATGTTTACATGCATTAGCCCAAGTTCATGTAAGATTCTGTTGCCAAGAAGAAGATGAAAATTTCATTTCTAGAAATGTAAATGAGATAGTCAGATTATCATGGTAGCTGTTCAAGTTAGTTCAATTATAAGAGCCTTCAATCTGACTCTCAGACATATTTTCAGTTTTTGGGGTTCTTCCCACCAAGCTACAGAGTGTCATATTCTATTTGGGAATGTTTGCCTGTTAAAAAGTAATTTTGGTATTGGAATTATTTAAATGGGAGTTTAGTTTTGGTAAAAATTATTAAATGTTATTTTCTCTAGAAGACAGGTAATCGCTATAAACCTATATAATACCTATAATGTAGATTTTTCTTTTTAAGGTTGTACGTTGGTTCTTCAAAGACATTCTCGTCATCAGAGAAAGCCCTGAGCCCTTTGCAGTGGTGTAGACACGTCCTAGATAACCCGACTCCGGAGATGGAAGCAGCAAGGCGCTCCCTGTGCCATAGACTGGAGCAAGGTAACTGCAGACCTGTGCGTTCACCCTCTCAGACCGCTGCCGCTGGCGGCTGGGTTTGCTCGCTGGAATAGACACGGAGGAAAAGCCTTCCCTGAGTGTGGCTTTTGCATGCAATTCACTTTACCTGTATCACATGCACATCAGGGGTTGTTCTTAATAGAGAATATATCTAGTTTTGTGCTTGTTTTCAGCCAGATTTTTTATCTTGTATTATAAAGTAAGAGTACGTGTTATTTTTCTGTTTTTTTTTTTTTCTGTGTGCAAATATAAGTACAGTACAGTGGGTCAGTCTTAAATTCTTTGGGGATGGTAACAGAGATATATGGCTGAATTCCAAGATAGAAAACTGAGGTTCCATTGGGACCCGAGTACTGACCATTTTGAGTCCTTAAATGTTTAGTTGGTTGTATAATTGGAAGTCCTCACCTTTATAAACTGGAAAATAATCTTGCATTGTATGTAATATTAGTTAACTTATGGAGTCCAACACAAGTTTAAACTTAAAAAAAAAAAAAAAATTAGGACTTGTTGTGAAAGGAAAAACAGCCAAAGGGATGAATTAGTACTCAGCTCCTTGCTATTTTGATTAAGGCAACTACTTAATTAAAGCTGTGCTTATTTAGCTTTTGCTGGTCTCTTAACCTCTCAGTATCTGTTTCATTACCGAGGAACACTGTTTCTGTTCCATGGACTACCTGCATCCAAATGTCACTTGAGTTTGAAAATGCACATGCCTGCCCCTTGTAGATGAAATCATCAGCGAGGTGGGAGCAGGGCTAGGGAGTCTGCCTCGGCCTGTGCCCTGTGGGGCTCTCCCGCGCCCTGAGGTTTGAGTCCACCGCCTAACTATGAAGCTACTCAGGGACAGTGAATGGTTACAAAATGTCTGGATGTGATAAGGCAAAGTATAATAGGTAACATTCCTTGAGCTCTTAATTCTGTGACAGTCAATACAGTGAGTTTTTCATATCCTTTATTTTATTCGGTCTCACAACACTCATCTGACGTAGGTATTCCACTCACTTTTAGAGGAGAGAAAAGTGAAGTTTAGAGAAATTCAGAGGATTGTGAGGCCAGAGTGATACCCCGGGGGCAGAGCCAAGAGCCTGGGTCTCCCTGATGCCAGAGACTGTCCTTAACCAGGATTCTCTACTGCTTTTTTTGTGTGTGTAGTCACAAGTAAATTTCAAGAGAAATCTTTTTAAATATTTGGGGAAAATCAAATTAAAAAGCATGCTTTATTAACATTTTAACTAAAATGAAGTTATTAGTAATAGTTGAAGTGTGGAACAGGAACCAAGGAGTATTGGGGTTAAAACTTTGGCAACAGGTGCTTATCTTAGAGAACAACTGTCTCAGAGTCAGGAGACTCTAGTTTTGATTCTGTTCCCTTTAACTTGGATGACCCTAAGCAACCACTTAATTAATCCCTCTGGATTTTTCTCTCTCAAGGTTGTTTATACCATGCCTAAGTTTCCTTATCTTTGATTTGAGGACTTTTTTTTTTTTATCCTCACCTGAGGACATTTTTCCATTTTTTTATTCAGATAGAGTGGGAGGGAGAGAGTGGAAGAGAGAGAGAGAGAGAAACATCGACGTGAAGGGACACATCGAGTGGCTGCCACCGCACGACCCAACCAGGGCCAGGGACAAACTGCAGCCGAGGTACGTGCCCTTAGTGGGAACCGAACCCGGGTCTCTGTGGACCGCAGGCCGACGTTCTAACCGCTGAGCCAAATCGGCCAGGGCTTGAGGACTTTTTTAATGTACATTTTAAATTAAATTAAATTAAATTTTTTTATTGTTGCAAGTATTACAGATATCCCTCTTTTTTCCCCATTGATCCCCTCCTCCCTGCTCCCACCCCCTTCTGCTTTCCCCCGACCTAACATCTGTGTCTGGTGGTGCATATATGCATAGAAGTTCTTCGATGTACCTCTTCCCACCCCACCCCTCTGAGGTTTGTCAGTCTGTTCCCTACTTCCCTGACTCTGAATCTCTTTTGGATAACAGCTTACTTTGTTCATATGTACATTTAAAAAAATATATGAATTTTGTTTTAATTTTATTTCACATAAAATTCAAATGAAATTCAGAACTATATTTCTTTAGCTCAGGGCTCACAAACTGTTCTGAAAGAGACCGGTTGGAACGGGTTAGATTTTGCTGCCGCACAATCTCTGGTCACCGGACAGCAGCCTTGGATAGATGCAGACGTTAATGATCACAGACATGTTCTAATAAATCTTTATCTGCAGACACTGAGATTTGAATTTCATATGCTTTGTTTTTTCATGTGTCACAAAATAATATTCTTTTTGTATTTTTTAAAGCATTAAAACATGTAAAAACCACTCTTAGCTGGTGGGTATTACAAAATCGGGCAGGTTGGATTTGGGCCACTGGGCCATAGTTTGCTGACCCCCTACTTTCGTTCATTGGCATACAGGGTACGTTGACATAGAAGGCTGATTTAAAAAAAAAAAATAGGGGAGAGGCTTTTGTCAAATTTGTTGTAAATAATCCTAATTGCTGGTGGCTTTTGAGATTTTAGACTAAGTGCCTGATCATCTGATTTTTCTTTCATTGACAAGCGGCTAAAGCAGAATTGTGAGGTAAGGAGCAAATGAATTGACAAGCTGCAGTTTTATTCATGATGTAATTTATTTAAATTTTATATGAGAGGTTAAGTAGAGAATTAGCATTGCAAAGCCAAAAATCAGTCTATTGCTAAATTTGTATATAAACCTGAATCATCTTTTGCTGTGAGACAAATGCTTTTGTTCCAAAAACCCATATTCTCCATGTGAGATAAGAAGTAATGCAGTAGATTATTCACTGTATGAATTTTGTTTGAAGTTTGTATTTTAGAAAGCAATATGTCTGTAGTTTAGAAAATATTAGTCTTATGGGTACTATAAGAAAAATAGCAAATTCCTACCCATCCTTCCATTTTCATTTTATTACCCAGATATAAATTACTTAACAAAAGCCATTTGTTTTGATTTTGTTGTTTGCCTCTATTTATAAATTCCATGCCTACAAGGCTATTGCTCGAGCTGTTAATTTTAAACATTACCCATTGGCTTTCTGTTTTGGATGGTGAAGGTTTAATTCTTTTAAAACCTCCCACCCTCTTATACTTTTTCTTTACATATTCTCCCATGTAGCTTTTTACTAATTTTAGGATACATCAATTGATTATAATAGAAATAGTCATATCTGAGCCATACAGTATTTTATCATTACGTTTCTTTTCTCATCTACCTTTTGTTTTTCCTAGAGTTAATTGTAAAAAGACACTTACTTATTTATTTGATCTTTGTTATTAATTTATCCCCAAACTTTCCAAATGAACCATCCTTGGTACAGTTGGACATATGAAGTCACCAAGGTTTTTTTTTAACCATCCCTCCTGGTAGTGTCCTCTGTTCTCTTACTCCAGCTGAGCTGGTTCTCTGCAAGCCTCCACTCAGCTGTCGCAGTGGCTCTTCTGCCCCCATCCTGGGAATCCTCCTGCTCTCTCTTCAGTGTTGTATCACCTGTTTCCTTGATCAAGAGACTTCCTTGCCCATATATTCCCTCTTGTAGCAGAATACATTGTCCTGTTGCTTTTGGGGGGAGTAGGAGAGGATAAGAGGAAATGTGGAAGGTAAACTCTGAGAACCCCATATGTCTGGAAGTGCCTTTATTGTATCCTCACTCTTACATTGGATTGTTTTTTGGGCTAGGTATAGAATTCTAGGTTAGAAACGCTTTCCAACCGAGTTTAGAAGGCATTATTCCATTATATTTTAGCTTCAGGATTGCTTTTGAAGTCCTGTTCCATTCTTGTTTCTGATTCTTTTGACTTTTCTATTTAAAATACCCCAGGTATTTGAGAATCTTTTCTTCCTGGTATTTTGAAATTTTATTTTTGTGCTAGACAGTCAGTGGGTGATTCAACCTAGAAATGGTAGCTTTGCAAAATTTTAAGCATTAGTTCTGTGTAATTCTCTTCTCCCTTCCAGCTTTTTCCATTCTGTCTGTCCAGATACACCCCTTGTAATCAGATGTCCAATCTGCTTCTTGCTCCCACTTTTTATTTTTCTCCCCTGTTTTTTTATCCTTGATTTTTTTTTTTTTAATGTTCTACTTCCTTGGAGATTTATAAAAGCCCTCTTCTAAACTCTTTAGCTGCATATTTATTAAGGACCTTCTCTGTGCCAGGCACCACTGTAGGTGATGAGGATAATGGGGCCCAGAAGTGATCAAAACAGATGTTAAGTCCCTGCGAGGGTTCGTCCTAGTATGTACTGACTTTTCACTTACTCCTCCTGTGTTTGTGTAAGGTACCCTGATTTGTGTAAAGTATCTTAAATCCAGAGCTTTCTGTTTCAGTAATAACCCGTCTTGGAGAAAAGCAGGAGAGGAGCAGCTGCTTGGGCAGGGGAGGGAGCCCAAGGTTTCGTTACTTCCCAGTAGACTTTGAAACAGTCGTCCTGTTTTGGCTTCACCCCAGGATCCTTACCCTCTGTGGTACCTTTTGCATCTTTAATTCTAGAACCTTCTAGGTCCTTGTTGAATTATCCCCCACTGTGGGCCCTTAGAGCAATGAATGCTGAAACCCAGGCCTGTTACTTAATGTTCATCTGTTTTCTCATTTCTAAATGAAATGCCTTTACTTAGTCTGATAGGGTCTCCTTTCCTATTCAGTCTTCCATCTGGGTTTATAAGACTTGACGTTTTTAGCTGCCTTCTAGTATTGTTTGCAAGAGAATAGATAAGAATTCATACTTAGTCCTTCATATCGAAGAATTCTAACTGGTTCCCAATTAAGGGGGTTCTTTGTCAATGAGAGCTAATTAACATACCAGAAATTATAGTTTCAATGTAAACTTTATTCATAATATAGTGTAAATATTTAATTGAAATAATGTGAACATTCAATATTTTAGAAGTTTTAAGTAACTCTTAATAAAGCATTTTCTCTTTTTATTTAGACTTCACTTCTCTCTTGA